TTCCCGCTCGCCGACGTCCCCGCACCTGGAGGAAGCCTGTGTCGCCGCACAACCCCCGCAAAGACTTGACCATCTCAAGAGGCGCCGTTGTCAGGATTTTTGTCCAGTGGCTCCAGTTCTTCAGGGGCGCGACGGACCGGGCAAAAGTGAAATCAACTGTGGCAAAGGCCTTGGCTGCTTTCACGGAGGGATTTTTTTCTGTGCCAGCGTCTATTTTCTTCCTTTTAAAATCCAATTGAAAAATAGCGAACACCTTTCAGGCATTTGTCGGCGCTGGGTGGATGCGCGAGGATTGAAGCGGTGGATCAGAAAGTGGGTATTTTCGTGAAGAATGAAGCCGGCTGTTATTTACCCGGCGGCCTAGCAGATGAAAACTTAATTATTGTGCGCCTGTCCTAGAACCCAGGCATAAATCTCCGCAGCCCTCTTGGATAACGCTACATTTTTGCTTATGAAAAGTGGGATGTGAGCAACGCGCTGCACATTTCTCTGATTCTCCAGGTCTTGGGCTGCTGACACGCATTCGATCAATTTTAAAGGAATGCGCATAAATCAGCGAGCCCCTGGCGTTTCCTCCGCAGAGGTCCACAAATCCGGAAGGGCGCCTCTGAACCCACTGGGTCGAAGGCTTAGCAGTCCCGGGACAGCCTCGGTCTCTGCTCTGAGACTCAAGACTCGAGGATTCGCAGAGAGGATGCAAAAGGCCGCATCTGCACCTAACCCCCAAACACACTCAGCAGGGTGTAATCTGCACACATATTATACGGTGAAATCTGCCACTAACTACCCGCACACTATCACTCTCAGCTGACTTGTGCTGCTTCATGAATATTTAACAAAACATTTAATTAGGTTTAATTTTTTAAAGAATAATCTTCTTTATCCCTTTTCTTTCTTAAAAAAGTATTTCTTTGTTTTTTAAAAAAATCAAGCACACAATTTAAATGCATGGCTTCAGCTCTGCATCAGGCATAGATACTAGTGAAATGCAAAGTGACATTTTACAATCATCTACTTAAAATACCTTAATAAATTTAACAATATTAAGAGCAAATGGAAAAAGTAGGTTTTGGGGTTTTTTCTAAATCCCGTATTTACAATTTTTAAATGGCAACATAACAGGCTACTACAAGATTCAAAAATCTTTGCTAATTAAATAGATGAAAATGGTGTCTAGTTGTTTCCATATTTACAATGCCATATTCAGAAAGTTTCCATTTCAGAAAAAATATACTAGAATCAGCTATTCAACCACACTCTCCGAGTGGCTGGTGTTATTTTTCTCATATGGTGGCTGGCGTTCTCCTGAATGTCTTTTTTTCTACAGGTTTAGGCTAATTGATATTTGGGCATTAGGGAACTATCATAATCCATGCTTACTTGAGGTTATCTGGTAGATCAATGGGAATTTTAAGGAAGAGGGGAGCTAGGTAAGATCAACATTATTAACAACCGTTTTAGAACAGGGAGGAAAAAACCTTTGGAATATCTTGTCATTAGTTTAAAAAACTGCAGCGAGAGAGAGAGAGAAAAAAGAAAACCACTACTTTACCCAGAGTTCCTGCAATGGCGATGGCTTGTGAAGGGGGTGGTATTCGGGCTGCAGAGCTGCTGTTGGCCTCCTTCCTAGGCCTGAGGCTCAGAATATTTCTTACATCTAAAGAAAAATATCCCCCTTCAACAAAGGAGTCCCCTTTGGAGCTGTTCATAAACACACAGTTTGATCCAGTTTTGAGGGGATTTTCTACCACTTTAAACATTTTGGGAGAAAGTTGTTACTTTGGAATGATGGCAGCTCATCTAGAAATGGAGTGCTGTGGCACAAGAACTTGGAGAGGTTGATCTGAAGCAACATTTTCATTTGTTTCCACACGTAGAATGAAAATCCTCAGGGCAGCAAAATTTGATTGCACATCAAAAGGCCATTCCATATGTACGTTTCAAGACCCTGCTATTTTTGACATAGGTTTAGAGATTCTTTAAGTCTCCACCTATAAAGAAGCTATACGTCTTCAGGTTGGAGAGGTTTCCATCCGCCAGGTTTGCAGCCAACCATTATTTTCCGTAAAATGATGAATACAGTTCTTCAGATCACAATAGCTTTCCTCTAACATAAAGATAAAAATTAACCTCATCTCAAAATTCTACATCCTAAGGCTCTTGGTTCCACCAACATTGCAATGCATATGTGCATAGCATGGTTTTGACAAAAACCACATTACGCTAAGTGTATATTAAATATATAAGCATATATATGTATTATTTATGACTCTAAACAGCACCTGATGTGTGGTTAGGGGTCAATAAGTAGTAGATATTATTATTATTATTATTATTATTATTATTATTATTATAGTTTTGATGGTGGTTGTTAACATTAAATGTATATATTTCTTCCACAAATCAAATGGCAGCTTTGCAAACATCAATATAAGATTGCACACCACCCAGGAGCAGCACTTGGCTGTGAGCTACCCAAGATAACTCTCCTTCTGCATTCATATTATGGTCATTTTGTAGATATGAGATCTTTAAGCTCTCTATACTGGCCTCTTAAGAGGTGGGTTTCTTTGAATTTCTGAAATGTAACTCTAGAACTCTAGAGTAAGCGAGGCATCTGAAACTTTTTATTTGCCGTATAGACTCCCCTCTAGCTCTAATTAGGATGGTAGACCACCTTGGAGGGTGAGGGGCAGCAAAGAATGGTTATTTAAGAACACCTCTTAGATTGTAACAAAAGTGTACAGCTTTAAAGCAGATCTGCAGAAATCTGATGCAGATCAAGTCACTGTGAAAATAAATTGAACTTAGTCATTAAAGAAAAGGAGCAAAACTTCATCATGTTAAGTACATTTTGTACCTTGACTTCTGGAAAATCACCTTAAATTACATCTCAGGTCATTAGTAATTAATGATACTATATCTGTACAGATTCTACAAATATATACACAAGCACTGAAATGCATATATGCATACACATATATGACATATATTCACATATATACAAGCACATGTATAACTTACATATATTCAAATTAGCTCCACCTGGAGCCAAAGAAATGAGTACCGAATCTCTAAGAAGGAGGTAAGACCTTCTGATTCCCTTGAAGATGAAGAATTACAAGGAAGCTTGTCAACGCGAGGTGGCGCCCTTGATCTACTAATCCAGCTGAGGCCAATTCATGAGCTGTCAAAAGTCAAGGTCACAAATTGCCTTTTTTTCGTCAAGGTCAAGGTTTAAGGTCTTTCCTAGTCCTGTCATTTCAGCAAATATCAAAACCTGCCCTCTAAGACACATGCAGACCCAACAGCAGATTTTAAAATACGACAGCCTGGGCATCACAGATACTAAACAACTGGTTTTCATTTTCCACAGGGAGCCTGAGAAGTTATACTATCTCTTCCTCCTTTCTTTTTCCTCCTTTTCAGAATACCTGACACTTTAACTTTCTTGAAGCACTTTTCTAAATTTTTAGGATTTTAGTTATGAGGGATTTCTCCCTTTGCTTAAAAATTTGTAGCCAAAAAAAAAAAAAAAAGCTAAATAATAAAAAAAAAGGAATGGTCCTTGGTTTGTATAGGATAAACCTGCTCCTTTTCTTTCTGTGCTGTGCATGTTTAGCATAGGAAAATAATGAGTATTTCCTTCAGATTTTAATGGCAGTGACTGTTTTATTAACATAATTAACACCACTATAGCACTATCTACAGGTCTAAGGTTTTTTTAATTATTTTTTTAGTAGAAATATTTAAAAAGCAGGTGCACAAATACATTTTCACAGTGTGCCGAATGTCTTTATTTACAAGATAGCATTTTATAGTGAATATGAACAAAATGAATGTGCTGATTGAAATAACTGCTTGATTAAAAACGAGCTGTGAAGATGAATTCCTAAACTTTCTAATGCGGTCTCATAACACAACAAACAAGGAAAAATACTAGTCCCTTAATAGATCAAAATATAGAATGTAAACATCTAAATGTTTCGGGGTTGGGGGGAATGGATTTCTTTTCTGAGTTTTCTAAAAAATAAAAAAAGGAAAATTATTTATCCTGCAAAATGTTTAGTAAATATTGCAAAATAGCCATTTAAATAAAAAAAATTAATTGTATTTAAACCAAAGTCCACCATGCTGGGGTTGGGACCTCTCAGGAGATCTGCCATAAAGTGAATTCTGTGAATTTTCTGACGCTTTCGATATTTTTTAAAAAGATATAAAATCCTTTGGAAATAAATGATATCAGGGCAGAAAACATATTTCAAATGCCACAAATGTGCTTGTTATAAGCAAACAAAGTTACCAGAAGGACATCCCCAATCTGGGGTTCCCTTGTAGCCTCAAAGGCTAGCTAGTTGTATTCACTGCCAAGACAAATGATCCTGGGAAGAGCTTTCTCTCCCTTTCTCCCTTCATAGTAAATAGTCCAAAATCATTATTTTGGTACCTTCTTCTCTTTTCCCCTCTAAATCTATACATGTTTTGCAGAATATACAACAATGGTCGGATTTTCACTAAGATTTACCTGAGCAGTCACTTAACATGCAAAGGGGATGGTGAAGGCAACCCAAGGACAAACAGATGTTTACAACAGCCTCTTGCTTTTGTAACCAATTTTTGGATTATTACCATATAACATAATGTCCTAAAATATAATAGTCACATAAATACTTACAAGATTTCAGTAAATGCGTAACTTATCTGAAATTGCGTATTTGGGGGTTGGCATTTGACTCTAGAGTTTGTCATTTTAACGGTCTGGGTCTGGTGGGGATGACGGAAGGATTGGCAGTCTTTACCATTTCTTAGAGTAAAGTTTTAAAAGAGTTGTAGATTCCACCAAGGAGAAAGAGATCCCCCCTCAGGAAAGCAAAATGCCAGTGTCTCTCTTTCTCTTTCCCCTTCTTCAATTATTATTAAGCATTATAATCATTATCTGGGTAAAGCAACGAGTTCTGAAGCATTTCTTCAAGTTGCCGGCTTGTTCCACTTTTAATCCATTAACTAGTGGTCTTCAGTTTGTTGATGACTTTTTTCTCTTTGACCCTCCTATTCTGGAACCAGATTGTAACCTGCCGCTCGGAGAGATTCGTCGTGGCTGATATCCGCCTCCGTTTGTCCTTGGTAATGAATTTGTTTGTAGCGTATTCCCGTTCGAGTTCTTTTAATTGCACCTTGGTGTAAGGGACGCGCTTCTTTCTCCCCCGCCTGTAGGAGCTGGTGTCTGAGGGATGAGAGACCACGTCTGGAAGACAGGGAAGAAGGCAAGTTACTCAGGGATCAGACCCAGGCCAGGACACAGGCGACAGCTTGATCTGAGCCACCGGCCTTGCAGCACCAACTGCCCTTTGCCACGCTCTGCACCATCCAGCCTTCTGCCAAACCTGGAGGGTCAGTGGGGAGGGTGGTTAGTTCTGCACTGAAATGAAACCGCCCAGCGCTCCAATGACCATCCCAACCAGGCCATCCTGCCCCGCACAGCGCGCCGGGTTCTCTTGGTCGCCTGGCCCAGCGGCCCACACCTTAGCGCTGGGCTCAGGGGTCAACAGTTCTATGCCTAGCTCCTCAGTATTCCCTAAGACCTAACACTTGATGCTTCTACACAGAAGTCCTTTTTGAGAAAAGGAATATGGGCAATTTAGTAAACTGTTTCCAGGTCCATTTCCCATCCTTAAGTCGGTGACAAGAGCTGGGGAGGGCGGGGCGCAGAGGGAGAAGAAAGCCAGCCAGGGTCCCAGCAAGCTTCTTCCCAGCCATCCCTCACCCAGGGAGAGCCAGGCGCCAGCCCAACTCAAGGGCAGTAGGGGCAGCGCCAGGCAGCCAGGGTCCGGCTCCCAGGGGTGCAGCGCCGCTAGGGCAGGCCAGGGAGAGAGGCAGCAAAGGGGCACCAGGGTGACCCGGGAGCGAGAGGAGGAGAAGCTGGAGCAGAGCCGGAGGACCGGGGCTGAGAAGGGGGCGCCATTTACCGGGCAGAGTGGACTTCCAGAGGTGGGGAGGCTGCGCCTGCTCTTTGGGGCAGTACATTTGGCCGTTCCAGCCGTTGGGCAGCGCCCAGGGCTGGTAGCTTTCCATGGGGAGACCCAGGGGCTCGTGGCGCGACTCGCCGGGGCCCCCGAGGCCCGGTACCACCGGCATATCCAGGTAGCCAGGCACCGGCTGATGGTGGTGGTAAGGCCCGGGCGCGTAGCCCTGGTGGTAGAAGGCGAACTCCTTCGCGCGGGAGCTGAACTCCTCGGCCGCGGGGCCGGCGGTGTCCATGTACTTGTCGGCGAAGGCGGCGGCGGCGGCGGCCGAGGCTGGCTGCGCGCACGACTTGATGGCGTTGGGGTGCGGGCCCATGCGGGCGCACGGGTAGTAGCCGCTGCCGAAGTAGCCGTAGGGCAGCGCCGCGGGCCCCGACGAGCTCTGCGCCGCCGCGGAGCAGGGGCTGCACTGCTTGGCGGCCTCGGCGCCCGCCGGGCCC